TATCACCTATCAATATTTTTAGCTTTGTTACACTCAAGAATGAGATTCTTGATTTTCTAGGATGGCCCTACTACATCTTAGAAAAACTGACTATTTTATACGCAATGTTTAACTTTATTGGATTTCTTTTTTCACTCTTAAAAGGAATCTATAACACATGTGCTATACACACACAAGTCAATAGACAAGCAAGTGTAGCACGCATACTATTTGCAGGATTTTTTGGAATCTTTTCTACATCTATAAACAAAATTCTTTTAGACGCACAAATAAAAGAATATAACACAAAAATAGCAACAAGACAGAACACATACGACGAAGAACATAACAATGTAGACACAACGCCAACAGCACCACAGTTACCACCCCTACCACATAACCATCCATTATCCCTAGTCCCACGTAATTTTCGAAATTTAGCCATAACACATAATCAAAATTTTAGACCAACCATATCACAAAGTCCCATCCAACATGTAATGCCACACCACTCACAAGATGAAAATACTTATGAACAAATTATAGAACAACCCCATACCACCGCTTTTCAGTCTCAAAATAATAATTTTTTTAGCCCACGATGAGCCGACAACTTGGATCCCTACACCGATCAAATTCCCACCCAACCAACCTCACCACTCCAATCCCAATAATACCACTTTTTGCTTTTCCGCCACCCGATTTCCCCACCAGTAATGTAACATCCGGCATGAATTCCGATACTAATTCACACATCTCAGTTTTATACTCCATCTCACAACTCAATAACCCGAATATTGAAACCCCCGATGAATTTGCCGACTCTGAACCATCTCCATCAATTAATTTTCACACCAATTCCTCAAAATTTTCCCAGCCCCCTTTTCAACCCATACTACCAAATAACCCTGTCCCAACCAATTCTACACCCTCTTATGCTTCCCAAGTCACTCCAACCTACTCCTCACTTCACTCAGACCAATCATCTCATTCTCCAGACACCCCCCGAATCTCCCCAGAACTAGATAATTTCATTACCCTACAACAACAACCCTACCACCTTGACACCCCAACCATAAACCAAATCTCATCCACAATAGATTCATCCAACCCTCCTACCCCTACACCCTCTTCAATTTATACCGAATCATTAGCACCATCATCCACATCTACTGAATCTTCACTCAGCACTAATAGAGCTTACCGCACTTTTAAAAGAAAGTTCCCCAACCATGCTTTCCCAGCGAAACCAGGAACAGCCCGTGAATATATCAACCATCCAAAACACACTAACACAAAAGAATTTTTAGCTATCACCTTACCCTCATTTCCACAATACACCTTAAACACCCCTCACGACACTAACGAGACACGTAACTTTGTAGACGAACACGTTTTAATGCCTACCCTTCCTTGGACCTCATATTATCATTTTACTAATCCCCTTTGCCTACCTTTATCTAACACTCACATCGATATAGAACGAAATAAGGACATGCTATATCGACTCACTACACCACTAACACCTAGACAATTTACTTACATTGGATATAAAAAATCACTAAAGACACACACTGCACCCCGAGCTAATGAATATACACTAGAATATTACGATCATAACATCATCAGAACTAACCAAGATCAATTCTTAGACGACGATCGCTTCGCTAACCCACAAATCACCGAGAAATTTTTCATTAAAACACCATATGTATTTACACTAAATATCTTCGATCGCAAGTTTGACCACATTATTTCAGAAGCACTAACAGACACACAAGCCTACGAAAGTTTTAAAGAACGCTTCCAAATATTTTCACTAACCTTTCATTTCCTTGCACCACATGAAAGAGATTTGCACTGCTCACACGATATTATGTTGCGCACTAAACAAACACACACATATACTTATTATCGTTTCATCCAAAATCACTTTGACCTACACACTCCCTCCAGACAACCACACCATCGTTTTCAATTCATCAATTCCAAATACACCTCACCATTCTTTCTTAACTTCACATATTGCATTAAAGATACTAACTTTCATGGTATTCTTCGAAATTATGATCCCATAACCCAAATGTATATTTTTTGTCCCATCACCAAGACCTTCAACGCAGAAGAATCCCGACCCTTCCTTATCCCACACGAGTTTGTACAACCTATAGAAATCCCCATTTTAGAATTCATCCATAACACTAAATTCAATCACAAATTATATAATCTAATCCAAAACACACCTTATGAATTTGCAGTTGGCACTGAAGAACTAACCACCATTAAAGCACTTCAATTGCTTTGGCCACTACTTCAAACTAAAAATATCATCCGCATTTTAGCTAAATTACTAACAGCTTCAGATCTCATCCACGACATCTTCCCCCACGGTTTCTTCCCCGACGACTAACAGGTAAGTATGAATTATACATATTACTAACTAATTAAAATATTAGAAACTCACCATTCTTTATCCATGTTTTCTTTAGAATTTTAGCCTTCATCCAACGATCATCTGAAAAATTCACAAAAGAAAAATAAAAAATAGCAAACTTCTTCAAAACTGTTTAAAACCCTATTAAATTTTTGCACCAACAATTAAATAAATATAATACCAATGCAGTAATTTAAATTATAAATTTTTCCCCCACAAGCAGTAAATCTAAAAATGATGAAAATTTGTAACTTAACTTTTCCCCAACAACTAGCAGTAAAATTAAAAATTCTATGTAATAAATTGATAAAACGAAAATGCAGTACTAACCTTTTGATATTTCCATTCATTCGCACAAACATTCTATCCACACTCGCACAGCTCGCCCAGGAAGAATTGTTTAAAATAATGAATTTCAGTTTCAAGCTTTCACACTCGATAACTCTAACACAAGATAACACGTTTCAAACTTTCCTTTAACCCGGTTGGAAAGGAATTATACACTAAACAACACTAACCAACGCAGCTTACTAAACACCACAAATCATAGAATAACAGCATGACTAAGAAAAGGAAACCAACGGTACCCAAACCGGATTAACCCAGTTTAAAACTGGATAATTTATTCTTTTGAAGACTATTATAAAGTCTAAGAAAGAAATAATAAAACACAAAAAAGTCGAAAGACAAACCCATACCACAAACAATTTGATTTTTGAAAAAAGGACACAACCAACAAGACATAAGAAAAACCACAACAAACCCAACATAAAACGTTGTCACATAACAGGACCTCTCACAAAAACCGCATGCAATCATACTCCCACTCCTGGCCTAACCCACCAGGAAGGACGTCCTGAGCATGCTCTATAGCCGGCCTAACCCACCGCGCTACATCCACGCTTTGTGACCACACTCCTATTTTTAATAAGAGCTACTCAAGGTTGAGTAACTCTTCAAAATAACTGAACTAAAACAAAAAGCTTTTGTGAAAACAACTAACCAAAATCATAATTAAAAAATATTAAACTAATAAAAGTTTTATAAAATGTAAATTATATTATGCAATATATAGATCAGCATACAACACCAAAGAGGAACATCCAAAGACAAAATGAACCCACTACACTCGAAAAAGAATGGCCAACCACAATCAATATGCCGCCCACAATCACAACTCAAAGGATTTAGAGTACGACTTGACTTCGCAGAAAAGGACTTCATTGAACTAGAACAATGACCACCTCGATGTTCAAGTATACGTACAGATCCGAGTAACCAGGCATCCCCTCCACACACAATCTCCACGCCATTCCCAGACAGGGTCAAACACAAAGAAGTTCTCACCAATGAAACAGAAAAACCTGACATAGCCAACCATTCTGAAATCAGATTTGAGTTTGTTGCGATAACCCAGTCGTTGTCTTGAAGAAGACACAACGATTGAATCTGGGACTTCTCTAATAAGAAAACCCAGAAGAAATAAGATGTTCGCCAAATACCAACGTCCATCATCCATCCTTTGAATTGCAGAAAGACTATTCTAAAAAACTCTGTAAAACCCGGATGGGTGGAACCTGATCTAAACTACATTTTATGATTGGATAAATTAGATATTTTACCAATGTAAAGTATTTAATATTAACCAATCATGATCCATCTGACTAACAATCCACTTATTTGTAAGTGCTGAAATTACTTGTAATTTCAGCACCAGAGAGATTTGAATTTAACTTAGAAGTTAGTTGAACTCTCCCGAGTACTTCAGCAGCCGCAATAAACCAGTATACCCTAGATCTATTGAGCCTAGCAGAGACTAGTTAAACAACCTGAGACTAGATAGTATAAGAGTAAGATTAGGATCGGTATTAGACTAAGAAGTTGCACGAATCTATCCGGCCGAAAATAAGATAGCGTGACGAGCAGACGGTGTACCCTATCCGAAATTACTCTATGAGTTATACACTTCGGTCCTAACTCAACATGCTGAAACTAGTTTATCTTCGATAAATCTGTGAGCTTGTGGAGCTTTGCTCAGAACGGAATTCAGTATACTTTGAATTTCCGTAGGCATGGCTGTTATAACAGTCTTAGCTACGGAAATGCAAAGTATACTGAAAACCGTTCTGAACAAATTTCCGAACTATAGGAAAAAACATATCCCGGCTCGAGGTTGTAGTTTTATGATCAGACGGTTACGACCACAATTTGGTATTTCCAGACTGCCTCGACCAAAAATGGACATTTTGGTCTTTACAGACTTTGTGGACAGAGGCAAGCTATCCGCGACCGGCGCGACTGAAGGAAAGATAACCGCCAACGCCTCGACCAAAGGAAAGTTAACCGCGACTGTCTCGACCAAAGGAATGTTAACCACGACCGGTGCGATCGAATCAAAGTTAGTCGCGGCGTTCGAAAAATTAGTCTCGATATGGTCGAAAAAATAGTCGGGTCGGTCGAAAAATTAGTCGCGGCATGGTCGAAAAATTAGTGGCGGTATGATCGAAAAATTAGTCGCTGCATGGTCGAAAATTTAGTGGCGGCTGTCAAAAAATTAGAGGCAAAAGTATAACTTATGGTACTTTACATGTTTTGTGACATAAACATCGACGATACGAAGTGCAGGAATCACTGCAGACAGTACTCCGATTGTTGAGTAAATGATGGTTCGGCGCCGAGTGCTGAGCAACACCTTGACTTCCGAGTACTTGACTGTGTACACATATCTTTCATAAGCCAGTGCGATTAGGCAATAGCAGTTCGTATAGTAGTTGATCCCCTCCAAAACTCGAAAGGGCCAACGGAGCTTGTCTTGAAATGTTTTGTAGATGTTCGCATCCATTCCTTGAGCAAATACTCCGTTACATGACCAGATTTGTGCCAAATCTTTCTCCCACACCTGTAAAAATCTCCAACTTTAAAATCTGCTGCGACAATGCAGTATGTGAGCTCAGTTGGGGATTGTCGCTCGGTTAACCCGATTGCTTAACCAATTTTTCTTGAAACATTGAAAAACTGCTCCACATAAGTTGATTTAAGTTGTTGTCTTACAAATGTTGCTGTATCAATGCCCTTTGAACGCTATTAAGTCTACAAATGAGCAAAATTTGGTATTTGAAAAAAGAAATTAACTGTTTGAGCATACGAATCCCCTCCCCAGTCTATTTAGGGGGGATAAAATAATAATGTCGTAGACATTAACTTTGAATGCAAAATAAATAGATGTGATTGATAGAAAAACTAATCAAAAATCAATTTCAAACAAGACTGCTCGTAAATCGGGGTAAAACCCTGAATGCTGCAAATGCACTTAAGGTCAATTGAAAAAAATTTTTTTGTTGAATAACTGACATACTGACAAACTTATTAAGAAAAAAGTTGTTTTTCTTTTTTCTCCATTTTATGTACGCTATGTAAAACACTGAGTGTGTGTGTTTAGCTTCTCGTATTGATACAATAGAATTAAATTGCTGGCCTCAATTCAATTTGGAACGCATGAACATGCTTCTTAGGCGTGTTATAAGTACGCAAAATATTGCACTTTTGGCCAAATTAGCAATTTTCAAACGCAAGTAACGTTACGAAAAATGATCACAGTTGAAATATCTTTTTAAATTTGAGCTTAGAATAACAATATCTCTGAGCTAGTATAAGAATTTTTGTATTCTAGATGTCGTTAAAAACTTCGAAAATGATTTTACGAGGTTTTTCCCGACTTTCGAAAAAAGTGCGGAATATCAATTTTTGACTTGTTTAAAACGTGTTTTCGACAAAACATTTTTATACTATTTGAGCTGTTATCCTAAGCTCAAGATATTTCACTTAAGATCACTTTTTGTAAAATTACGGGCGTTTGAAGATTGCTACTTTGCCTGGCCAGTTTGGAATAAATAAAGTGCGATATACTGCTCACTTATAACACGCGTAAGAAGCGAATTATTGCGTTCCTAATTGAATTGAGGCCAGCAATTTAATTCTATTGTATCGATACGAGACGCTAAACACACCCTCAGTATTTTACATAGCGTTACATAAAATGGAGAAACAATGAAAAAAATCTTCCTCAATTACTTTGACAATTATTCAACCAAAAAAATTTAATTGCACTTAAGCGCAGTCGGAACATTCAAGTTTTTGCCCTGATATACGAGCAGTCCTGTTATCAATTAGATCTACTTATTTTGCACTCATATTTAGTTTCTACGAAATCCGTGGAAAAGGGATTGCGTGGTTGCAAAATCTCCCGGGATGACCAAAAATACTAGTTATACAATTTCCATATATGGAAAAATGCTAGTCATACACTTTTCATGCAATTCCATACGTACAAAAAATTGCATGAAAGGTCTATGATTAGTATTTTTTTCATATATGGAAATTGTATGACTAGCATTTTTCCATAAACCAAAAATATTGATTTTTTACATTTTATTTCTCAAAATTTTGTGGTTGTGTTCGTAACCGAACACAAATGACATAAACCTTGATTACTCAAACGTAGTAACCAACGGTTTGGCCTTTTCGCATTGAAAATGCATTGGAAACAGCCTGATATGTGTTACTTCTGTCTCAGACAAACAATATAATGAAAATAATGAACTTTTAAATTTTGGCAATAATTTTCAAAGATGATTATTTCTAAAATTTGAATTTTTAAATTACCAAACATTGATCAAGGCATTCAAAAACATGTCATACAAAAGCCGGTCAACCCGGGCTATAGTTGTTAATTCTGAACAATGTCAAAATCAAGTGTCTAAGTTTTAGTGTTACAAAATTGATAAGACCAATAAGCTTGCCTTCAATTTGGAACAATTTTGTAGTGCATGATATTTTGCAAGCATATAATTTTTTCGCGTTATTGTTTCGCCATCATAAACAAAACTGCTCGCATCAGGGCCAAGCCCTGAACGGTCCGACTGCCTTTTAAGGTCTATGGAGCAGCATTAACATGAAAAAACTAAAGATTTTAAAATAAAACGAAATTTTTTTCCAATAAATTTGAGCTTTTTTGTGATAATCATCCCCCACACACCAAATAAAGTACAAAGTGATATGCTCCTAGTGACAAATCCTAGCTCCTAGTAACAAATCAATACTGGCAATTAAGCTTCCTTCAACCAATTTGGAACGATTTCTAAGACGGATTAAATCTCCGCTTACGCGTTAACAGCGCAAAATTTATCGCGCGTTAATTGTCCCAAATTGGCCAAAATGGCAATCTTTAAACCACCGTAACTTTACGAAAAATGATCACAGGTGAAATATCTTTTCAAATTTGAGCTTAGGACAACAATGCCTTTCGAATGATAGTTAAAAAATTTCGTCTAAAATGGCTAGTTAAAAAGTTGAAACTTATCCGAAGAAAAAAAAACCACCCCGAGCACAAATACTCCGTTACTTTTGTTACAAAAGTCGAAACACAAAACTTTTCTTACCGTCATAATATATTGTTTTCTATCGCAATATTCGAATACAAAACTTATTGCTGTCATCGTGGTATATACAATGGACGCGAAAACGCAGATGAAATCGAGCAACGATTGGTAGAATATTAGAAAGTACTCGCCACATCTCAACTCTTCTTTTGCCTTGAAACACCACAACACATACGCGTTCACAATCACAGTCAGGATCTGCGGCAGTTTCTGAAGCAATTCAGCAGATGATATAACACTCTCGCTTTTTTATATAAGCGGTAGCGTTTATCAAGTGCGATGTTTACCCGGGCTGAGGCCCGCGACTTGACTCAAGTCCTGACATAAGTCGCGCACGAGCACAAACACGGCATACCTAAGAATGGTCACGCAAAATCCTCAATTTAGCGCAAATTTGCAGCTTGAAACTGCGCAAAGCCGCAACATATGTCACTCAAAAACTTTTTTTGGGACATCTGCTGTAGGAAACAATACGGTTAATGAAATGTTTTTGCGTAGGACAATCAGTAGTTGGATATTACCGTTAAAACTTGGAAGGATAATCAACGCATTATTTGGCAATCCAACTTGTCAAAAAGAAGGTTTCAACAATATTGAAATTCTATTTCAAGAAATGTTACACTTCAAGCTTCCTTTCCAATATTCATGCGAAAAGCATGAATTCTATTTTTTTTATTATTTAATCATATTTAAGGAATACTGGCGACACAAGTCTTGCAAATTTGTGACGTTCGACACCATCGGATTCGGAGGGGGAGGGCGGACGCCCCCTCTCAGGGATTTGACCCCCTGCCGACCCGAAGGGTCCCCCCTTTGTACACTTTTTTGAGATATTCCTTTTTGGCTGACTGACCCTACAGTTTTTCTAAAAGCGCATATGGCGCTAAATTACACTAGTTTTGAGAGAGCGTGCGCCGAAAAAAAACGCTCCTTTTTGGTCTGTTTTTTCAAAAATGTTGGGTCCCGCAAGTTCGCAGAGAGTATTTTTGGTCGTGCAAACGCACTGTTGAAGATGTGAAACGTAGAGTGTGTAAATTTTAATTGCAAAGCAACTGTGAGGCATCAAATCTAAATCTTACTGCACTTCACTGTTTTAGCACATGCCGGACGATAGCGATCGCAAGGTCACAGCAGCAGGTCCCCAGACAGAAAGGTCAAACTCATATAAACTTACATAAACTCAAAACTGGTCCCTATATCATTTGGGCAACCACAAATAAATTTTAAATCTCAGATTGAAAATTTATCATACTCATAAATTTTTCCGTAGTTTTAATGAACAGTTTTAGTTTCAAAATGAGTTTTTCGGCATACTTTCCAACCCTCTCCCTGAGTCCTTTTTCCTTTTACTCATTTATGTTCGATACGGTGAATCATCACTCCACCCATTTGGTCCACTCCTCTTCGTTGTCGCGTCGATCGGCGCGTTGCTTCCTCACTCAACTTTCCCTTGTTACCGACGGTTATTGGTACTATCAATTTTTCCGTTCCCGACGGTTCGTCCACCCCGCTCGCCTGGTTTTCCGTAGCTGTACTTTGCTCTGCTTCGCCTTCTCGTCGCTCTCGTCTTCGCTGCTCTCGACTATTCGTTTCATCGCCCGTTTCTTTTCTGGATACTCCTTTCCGTTGTCCCCCGCTTTACTTTTAGATTCCCTTGGTTTACTCGGCCCCGGGGTATCAGCGTCGGTCCCTTTTTCAATTCTACTCTCTTCAGCCGCCGATCTAAACGAAACACCATTTCTCTTTAGTAATGATCCTTTTCCATTTGCACCGTATGTTTCGTCAATTTTTCAATTTTTAATGGTAAACGTTTATACCTCCTTGGATCTTTTGGGTCCGTTTTCCCGGACCGTTGGTAGACCGTCGTGGTGCTTGTCCTGGGGCGCTTTAGCCACTCTGGTACCTTGGGTACTTCTGGCGCTTTAGGTTCCTCTCTAGCCTCAGCTAACTCGTTCTCATCCAGGATCCTCGCGTTTTTCGGTTTTCAGGGGCGTACACGAGATCGCTGCGCTTTTCCCAGTGGAGATTCAGTAGAGATTAGCTTCTCTTCCATGATAAGCCTCAATTGGCGTCAGTTTAGTTCTACAGTGAGGAACAAATTGTAAATCGCTCAGCGCACGGGAGATCATTAATCCAAATTTGTAGTTCATATTTTCTCGTAGTTATGTTAGGACGTATGTTAGAACTGTCCCCCATATCACTTTTTGGAATGTCCGGTTTAAGGTTTTTACCTGCTTAAGGCAGCTTTTACAGAATTTTGCTGTGGCCGCGAGGTTCCTATGCATGAGCGGTATCCTATGCATGAGCGGTTCCTATGCATGAGCATTTTGTCCCGCCCGTGATGGTTGTAATGCAATTGGATCAATACTGCTGATTAGATGTCCTTCGGTATAGCCAGTCGGCCATCCATCCACAAACAACTTTCGCGCACAGCGAAATCATTGAAATGTTGAGCACAGTATTGTCCCAGTCTGGCGATAACATCCATGGGCCGTGGGTCCTTGTCTCGTATCGCGTCGCGGATTGCGTTCAGTATCGGGTCTTTTTCCAAATTAGCTTCAACTAATTTCAAATTTAGAATTTTTGGGTAATCAATTTTCTTAACTATTCAACTATCAGTAGGTACTATTGAATAAATCCAATTTTCACTATGCGCAAGGGAATAACACAATCCGGAGAATTGATGCGGGAATGAAACAATGGTGTTGAGTTTTTTCGAATTCGTTTTTTTTCGGAAAAATTTTATCTGGAGGTAAAATTTCTTTATCGGAATCTGAACTCACACTCGGCGGTTGATTTTGCACTCTATTTAATACTACATTGAGTTTTACCTTACCAAAATGGGTCGATGTCTTTACAACAGCAGAACGTGTTTTCGGATCGGTTTTCTCTGGAGAATTTATAGATGACATACTTGTTTTGATTGTTTCTTTCAATCGACAACTTGATTTTACGTACTGAGAACAACTGATAACGTACTGATTTTCTTGCTTCGTAATTTGCATATTTCCTTCGGTATGCAAACATCTCGATTCTGATTGGCTAACCGCCGGTTGCATGTAACCACGCCCTCTAGTGAGCGCTTGCTCTCACGGTTAATATTTGCATATTCTAATTTCCCTCCAGTTTCATTGGATACAACTTTTCTCTTTGAGTACAAGTATGATCGTCCGCTCTCTACTAACGGAGTTTCTCGAATTTGATTCCTTTTTTGACCCCTAGGATTTAACTGGTCCCTAGGATTTAATGCATCATTTATCATTTTTATTTTCGCTACTGCAAAACTTTCATCTTAATGACTTGTTTTGGGTGCCGCTGCATATGGAAACTGAGACAAACAATCTGCCATTCCCATTTTTGACCCTTGTCTATGTTCAAATTTGAAATCATACGGTAGCAAACGATCGTACCATCGAGTTAGCCGACTAAAAATGTTTTATTTCCTTTTGGTGATGAATTTAATAGTGTAAGTAACGCCTTGTGATCCAATACAACCGTGAAATAACATCCGTAGATATAGTTTCGGAATTTTTCCGTTGCCCACACTACCACGAGTAACTCCAATTTGTTTGTAGAACACTTTTTCTCGGCTGGATTAAGATAGCGTGACGCAAAGGAAATTGGGTGCCAACCGCTGGCACCGTACTGTTCTAAAACGGCTCCTAGGCCATCGTGACTAGCATCACAAACTATTCTAGTCTCACGGTGAATATCAAAATGCCTAAGCTCTACAATGTTTTTCACTAGAGATTTCAATTGTTGAAATGCGTTCCCGCAATTCGGTGTCCAGACAAAATCGTTGTTCTGACTGAGTAACGGTCGTAACGGTTTTTGCAAAAATTTATGCAAACTGTGCATAGAACCCATTAGTGATTTCAGTTGTTTCCTATATTTCGGGATTTTCAAATCTTCTACTGCATGTGTTTTCCGAACCGATGGCGCGATGCCATTTTTTCTGATTCGGAACCCTAACCATTTACAATCGGTTTTCTAAATTCGCTTTTCCGTAGTTTTAAGGAAACGTTTGATACGTCCAACTTTTTCAAAATTTTTTCCACTAATGCAATGTGCTCTACTCTTGTTCCCTTTGACGCAATTAAGATGTCTTCTATGAAAGCATTTGCCAGGGGAAATTCCTTAAAAAATTATCAATCACTTTCTGAACTCCGCCGGCATTGATGTGAGCCCGTAAAACCCGTTTTTAAAACGATATGTTCCCGTCGATTTTCCGCCTTCTAATGAAAAATTGCACTGTTCGCTAGTCTTTTGTTCCAATGAAACTTGTCCGTACGCATACGTGAAATCCAATGTTGTACAATATACATCCCCCGCTTTTCGTTTTTCAATTATTAGACTTATCACGTCGACTAGTTCGTCAATGTTTGGCATTTGGTACTTATTCTTGTGTACCTGCTTGTTAAGTTCTCTTGATTCCAAGGCCAATTTTATGCTTCCATCTTTTTTTACTGTGATTACTATAGGAGAGAAAAAATACTCATCCGAACATTCGTGTATTTTTATGATATGGCCTTCTTTTATCAACCGGTCTATTTCCTTGTCTACTTTATCTTGTAGACTTATAGGCACCCGAGGCCCTTTTTGCTGTATCGGTTTTAGATTTTCAAAGAATTCGGCTCTTACTTTAGCGTTTCGGATTTTTTCTATCCTGGTAAATAAATTTGGATACAACTTACAGAAATATGTTTGTAATTCATCGTATCCCTCTTCTTCCTGGCTGCTCCCTTCCCCCGTGATTCCCATCACTTTTCCTCGTTACACCAACTCCAGGCCTAGGGTACCCATCAAACCGCGCCCAAGGATTGACTGATGCTTTCCTGATATTACTGACACTTGCGCTGGGGCAGCCCAGCCGTTTAACGCCGTCGTCACCGCTACTTTCCCAAGTATGTGTATTTGGTTTTTATTGTAGTCCAAGAATTCTTCTTCAGATGGTTGTAAATGAAGATTAGTTTTACCTAATGCTGCTTTCAGGTCCGTCATGCTGAAAATCGTCACAGGAGATCCGCTATCCTGAACTCTGGCCACTGGAATCTTCAACTCCATCACGTTCTTTTTCTTGATTGACATCACCATGTAATCATCGGATCCCGACGACATGGATTCATTCTTCCCGCATCCCTGCTGATTCACCCATGCCACCTGATCTTCCGATGCATTGTCTACACTATGCATGCTTTGGTGATGCTCAT